TTGATATGCTTTATCATAAAGAAAATAATCATCAATACTTACTTTTACTAAGTATTATCACAGTCTTTCTTATTTGACCTATTTATGTGACATAATATACTACAAGAAGTGATATTATTGAATCATGATTTTACATTTCTTACACTTCTCTTCCTATATTTTTAAAAATGAACAATTATTATACTTCCAGATGCTGAACTATTGTATAGCCAACTGAAATTACGTTGATGAACTGTTCAAATAACACGAAAAATGCTTGTGTTATATTTTGAAAATCAGGATTTAAATCAGATCATGCACTAAGATCTCAGTTAGAAAAAATTAAGAACAGAGAATAGTTAAATTTCTTTTTTAAGGTCCTACCAGCTTCTCTTATTAGTGTAGTCAAATAACTTTTTCATTAAATTACATCCAAACATCTTAGAATAAATATGTATTGCTTTTGTAATTTCATAAAGCTTTTAAAAGAATGGAATGAAAAATTTTCCATATTTTTACATAGTTTACATACAGGTGACCCTTAAGCACTATGGTTTTTAACTACCTGGGTCCAACTATACAGATTTTCTTCTGCCTGTGCTGCCCGGAGACAGCAAGACCGGCCCCTCCTCTCCCTCATCCTCTCCAGTCGATGAAGTACAAAGATGACAAGGATGAAGATCTTTATGATCCTCTTAGTAACTGGAAATATATATTCTTCCTTGTGATTTTCTTAATATTTTATTTTCTCTAGTTTAATGCATTGTAATACAGTTTATAGTACATATAACTTATAAAATATGTACTAATCTGTGTCATCAGCAAGACTTCTAGTCAACAGCAGGCTATTAGTAGCTAAGTTTTGGGTAAAAGTTATACATAGATCTTCAACTGTGTGGGGAGTCAGCATCTCTAACTCCCATACTGGCAAGGATCAATGGCATATATAATATGCAAAAGTATATTGAAGTATTTATAAGATATGTAAAAATATATATGTGAGGGTTTTTTTTTTAAATATATAGGAGATATAAAAAGAGAAAATGATGCCTGAGGCAAGTCCAATATTTAACTGGATGAAAGGAGGACCTGATTTGGAGAAACAAAGCACCTCATTAAAAAGAAAAGAGGTTAATGAGCAGAATTGACATTGGTGTTCACAGGTAGATTTTTAAATCTTAGCTTTTAGTAAAGACACTTTAATTCTCTAATAGATGAGCCATTTAAAAAATCAGAAAAGAGAAATAATTCCTATTGGACTTATACCTCTCTCCTCCTATAGCAACTCTATCAGTAAAGATATTTAATACAGGAGTGTGTAAATATAGGACCTGAGGATCTTAAAGGTCATCTAAGCTAACCTTTATCCTTTAAATGAGAAAACTAAACAGGGTACATACATATCACATCCAACCTCATTCGAACCATTGTTGAGATACTACCAACATTTCCCCACCGAGTACCTCTACGGATCAGCCCGACTGCAGGAGAGGAAATCAGAACATTTACTCACCATGCCGCTATAGGAATGACGCAACAGTATGGCGTGTCCATAAAGGAGTGTCCGATGGCCACCACCTTGAGCAGTCTGCACGGAGAAGAGAACGGAAGGGGAGAGAAGAGAAAAACATCCATGAGTAAGTTAAGTCAATAAAATGCTCCCTTGCCCTCCAGGAAGTGTCACAGGAAGGTATCCCCACAGTCAGAGCTACTGCAGACAAGCCAAGTCTACTACTGCAGAAATCAATGCTTAAATCAGAATAAAACTCACAAGAAAACCTCCACGGTGGGGTTACCATTTGATCTGGTTCTTAGAGAATAAATTTGATTTCAGCAAAGAATTATCACCATTTAGCATGTTCATAGATCACCTGGGGAACTTGTCAGAACAGATTCCTGGGCCTTACTGCTGAGATTCTGATTCAGTTAGTCTGCGGTAGATACGACAGGTGATGCTGATGCTGTTGGTCCAGAGACCACACTTTGAGAAGTACAAGAACAGAGACATTTAGCCTCAGTCCTTTCTAGCCTCATCACCCGCTATCCTATGCCCCAGACAAACCCAAACACTCTCCCCTCCCTGAGTCTGCCACACAGGTGTGATGCAGGCCTGTCTTGAACATGATGTGCCCTGACTCTAGAGTCTTTCCTGCCTTAAAAACTATGTCTTAGCTTTCTGTCCTTTTCCGGTCATCCAAGATGTTGAAGCGATGTCCTTTGGTGTGAAATTCCAGATTTCCCTGGGTCTTCCAGTAGGAGCTGTGATCAACTGTGCTGCCAACACAGGAGCCAAAAATCTGTGTATCATCTCTGTGAAGGGGACCAAGGGACAACTCAACAGACTTCCTGCTGCTGGTGTGGGTGACATGGTGACGGTCACATTAAGAAAGGCAAACCAGAGCCCAGAAAGGAAGTTCATCCGGCAGTGGTAATACGACAGCAGAAGTCACACCGGAGAAAAAGACGTGTGTTTCTTTATTTTGAAGATTATGCAGGGTCGTAGTAAACAATAAAGGTAAAATGAAAGGTTCTGCCATTACTGGACCAGTTGCCAAGGAGTGTGCAGACTTGTGGCCAAGGATTGCCTCCAAGGCTGGCAGCATTGCATGATTCTCCAGTATATTTCTAGAAAACATTAAAACATGGGTGATCCCCCCCCCCAAAAAAAACCTCTGTTTTAGGGAGGCACCTGTGGCACAAAGGAGTAGGGCTCTGGCCCCATGTGCCAGAGGTGGCTGGTTCAAACCCAGCCCCAGCAAAAAACTTCAAAAAAAAAAAAAAAAAAAACTATGTTTTAAAACTACGGTAAAAGGCTGCCTTGCCTCCTCCATGAAGTTCATCAGGTTTGTTTAAAGCTGTGCTCCTACAGCCCTAGGTATGCACCCGCATATGGGCCTTTTCACACTACCATGTAAGAACCTTTCCTTGGCCAGCCTAAGATCTCCTCCAGGACGAGGCCTTTGTCCTGATTATCACTTCAGCTCCACTGTGAGCACAACCTCAGACCACGGTAAGCACTCAATAAACATTTGTTGAATGAAAAACTGGACAGGAGAGTCCAGTTCAGGCTGGGTGAGCAGTCTGCACAAAAGTATCATGAGATATAATTGCAAAGTGTTTGAGAACAAAGGGACCCTGGAATTGTAGTGTTGGGTTGTACAGAGAAACCTAACAGGAATTATAGAATAGATCAAGGACTGATCGTGAAAGGTAGAGAGTATTGTGCCGAGGAGAGCAGGTGCATGGGGAGTGTCTAAGGGAAGAGTCAGATCTTGATGTGTTTGCATTGCTTGTAATGAGTTCCTAAGCCTGAGACCAATACACAAGTATTAGTTATAAGATAAGAGTTGAATTAAGAAAATGATTGCATGGGGGGCGGCGCCTGTGGCTCAAAGGAGTAGGGCGCTGACCCCATATGCCGGAGGTGGTGGGTTCAAGCCCAGCCCTGGCCAAAAACTGCAAAAAAAAGAAAGAAAGAAATAGGCCACTGGGGTGGCGCCTGTGGCTCAAGGAGTAGGGTGCTGGCCCCATACACCGGGGGTGGCAGGTTCAAGCCCCGCCCCAGCCAAAAAAAAAAAAAAGAAAGAAAGAAAAGAAAAGGATTGCAGAGGATGGGCAAAGGACAACAGAAACAGGAGCGAAGTGGATTCAGAAGAACCCTGAACCCAACACAATGCTGCTGCTGGAGGTCTGGCCCCTTTAAAACTGTTTAAGTGTCTTGCTGGAATTTCACCCCTGCCCCAGTGCAACTCCGCAGCCTCACAGCCTTGGAGGTCTCTAAGCAGGCAAGACTCACCAGACCGGCAGATAGGCTATTTGTTCTGTGATGAGGGAGTGATTTCTGGTAAAACTAGATACGCAGAATGCTTCAACTTTGTCAAAGAAGGCAAACTACGCTCCAGACCAGATAAGGAGATAAAGCATGCCTTTTCTTCTGTCACCTTGGTATGACCAGAAGCGTCTGTCTGTCTGAGCAACAAGTTTCTCGAGTATTGTCACTTCTGTGATTTGTGTGGGTGGCTTATTTGGGGTCTTCTCTGACACCCTGCTCTCAGACTCTTTCACAGTCCCATACTGTGTGTTAAAGATCAGAGCAATAAAACTAAAAAGTCAATCCATCCAATTAACATAGTTAAGTAGTTTGGTTAGAAAAATGCAAGCACAGCAAGAACCAGATCAGAATTGTTTGCCTTAATGACTTATGAGTCAAACAAAGAGGTATGAACTAAAAACGGAGCTAGCCTGGGGCAGGACGCTGCACGTGTGTTAGGCCTCACCAAGAAGAAAGGCACCAAGCCTCCTGACCCAGCAAAACTCTAAACTTTCCCTTTGTCTCTTGAATTTTCTTTATCCCTGCACCTTGATCAAACCACTGGGAGAGAACCCCAAGTTGGTGCTGGTACCCAACAAAGCAGTTTACACTTCCTTTTACAGGAAAAGGAGGTCTCTAAAAATCTTAAGGATAACAGTGATGATACTGACCTATACCTTAAGTGCAGAAGAAAGTTCTTTAATACCCAAAAGTATTATACTCTTTTTCCAAAAAATATACCATCTCTATATTTCTCCATATAATTTCTTAAAATAACCTTCTTTCTATGTTATATTTGAAAGAACTGAAAATCATTCTGTAAACAGATAATGAAAGTATTAAAATGATAAGAAAAACTTTTTTAAAAATCATTTTTTTCACATACTGAGGAAAGGGAAAAACCCTCTTTGAAAAATTACATTTCTTCACAGAAAGAGGTACTCTTTAGAGAGTAGTTTTCTATAATATATTTCATTTATTGGGGCCAAGAACAATTTTATTTACTTTGTGTGGTTTGAATTACTGTGGTAGAAGCTCACCTTTTCACAATAGGTTCAAGTCCCAAAGCTATAAAATCCAGCTGAACTCTGACAACATTTGACAGTCAAACCAATCAAAATATTTTTTTTCAAATCAAATCTAATTTTACTTTTTTCCTTTCATTAAAAAAAAATCTTTACATTCACCTTTTTTTCATCTAGTAAGACCAAAGATTTTGTGGTATTATATGGCATTCAACAATATGGATTGGAATTTAATAATTTACATAGCATTGTATGTTATAAGACATAATTTCTTCCTATTTTCTTTTTTTTAATTAAATTAATTACATTAATGCAGTCATGGGGTACAGTGTACTGGTTTTATATACAATTTGAAATACTTTCATCAAACTGGTTAACATAGCCTTCATGGCATCCTCTTAGTTATTGTGTTAAGACATTTATATTCTACATTTAGAAAGATTCACATGTACCCTTGTAAGATGAACCATAGGTGTGTTGCCATCAATCACCCTCCCTCCACCCATCCTCCCCCCTCCCCTCCCTCTCCCCTTTCAAGCTATAACCCAATCTTATCTCAAAATAATTTTTTAAAGGGAAAGACAAGGTCTTGAATTTAAGCAAAAATTTCTCCTTTTGTAGTAAAGTTTTTCCTCCACATTTTATTTATACATATCTAGCATGTAATATGAAAACCAGCATAAACAATGGCTGGATACTTTCTGGAAAGCCCTTGTATATATAAAAATACATGAGTGCTTGTGCACATACATAAACACACATATATATATAACTAAGGAGGTTTATACACACATGAAAATTACTGGCTTGATATGTTTTTCGTTGTTTATTTGTTTTGGATTTTTTTTTTGTTTGAGACACTATGTCGCCCTCTGTAGAGTGCTGTAGTGTCACAGCTCACAGCAACCTCAAACTCTTGGGTTTCAGTGATTCTCTTGCCTCACCCTCCCAAGTAGCTGGGACTATAGGCACCTACCACAACACTTGGCTATTTTTTGGTTGTAGTTGCCATTGTGTTCAGCAGGCCCAGGCTGGACTCAAACCTGCCAACCTCAGTATATATGGCTGACACCCTAGCCAGTGAGCTGTGGGCAATGCCCCTTTTGGATCTTTTTAAAAGACAATGAACCCTCCATATCTGCAGATTTTGCATCTATGGCTTCAACCAACTTAGGACGGAAAATATTCAGGAAAAAAATACAATAATGCCATAATTAAAATAATATAATTTTAAAGTTATAGAGGATAACATTTATATAGCATTTATATTACATTAGGTATTACAAGTTATTTAGAGCTAAATTAAAGCACGCAAGTGATGAGTGTAGGTTGCATGCAATTACCACACTATTTCCTACAAGAGACTTGAGCCTCCATGGACTTTGGCACCCGTGAGCAGCCCTAGAACCAATCCCTCATGGATATAGCGGAATAACTGTATATGTTTGCAATATACAGGGTGTCCGTAAAGTTCGTGTGTAATTTAAAATAGTTGTCTATGTATTTTCTTATTAGCATTTTATGTACACCTATTATTATTGATTAAAGCTAATTAATTTACTAACTATATAATACCTAAATATTTTAAGGTGTTTTGCTTTCCCAGTCATCTTTTCTGTACAAAAATGTTGTAATAATCAACACAGGGCATTTCTTATAATTCTAGGCCATTATTCTGCAAGAGACCTTAAAAAAATGAACTGGACTCCACAGGAGAATTTGTCTGTATCCCTTGACTGTGATAATATGTGATTTCAGAAGTTAAAAGGACTTCATTACTTCAAGCAATCCTGAACAGCATCCTAATAAGAAATATCATAGGCAACAGAAAGAAATCGATGTAAAAGAACTTCTTTCATAGTGCTCAGATCTGAGTTGAGAAGTTTTTCATTTTACCTTCAAATACAAATAGTGATATTTACAAATAAAAGTATCAGTTGCTTCGGGGAGAAGAATAAACATATCTCTGCATGTAACCCTTCCCATCGTCTGAGAATGACTTATGGACAGAAATACCAACAGCACGAGACACACAGCAACAGTACAGGGTGTGGGCTGGCATTCCCGCCCACCTATGGGTCTCTACCACCAGGACATTTTCAAATAGTCCTGCCCCCTTTAAGGAGGAACTCACACAAGAGGGTCCCAGATGGTTGTAATAATCAATGAGACTGTCAGCTTCAGTTCACAATGTGTTGACAAAGCCGGTTGAACAAGGTCAACACAGCTGCGTGACACTGAATGGCTTAACTTGTGACGGTGACTTCCCCAAAAGTCTCCTGAGGGAATGGATCAGGCCTAGGATACTAAGTCATCAATGTTCAACACCAACCAGCAGAAATGGGCTTCTGCAACAAGATAGCATCTACCTGTCTCCCAAACTCAAATCTTCCCAGATCACTGACCACAGGCATGTGACTAGCCATTGGCCTTCGGCCTGACAGTTGAACAAAAACCAGAACCTAATGAATTTAGGCACACCACCTAGTTTCAACTGATCTTTCTATTTGCACTGGTTTTTACATGAATCTGCTCTTACAAATGGGCTTGAGATATTCATTTCAGGTTAAGTATTTCCTTCCACTCCCCCAAGGGGTGGTGGATATGGCATTGGATGGGAGACTGGAATAAGGGTAAGATGATAAAATGGACACAGGAATTGCAGATTTAGCTCGGAAAAACTGAACTTTTTCAAACTGAATTTCCTTAGCTATTCATTAATATTTACAGGGAGAGGAAATATTCATGTTTTTCTGCTGTTTATAATACTTATTTTCCCAGCCAAACCCCCTGTTTCATGATCCGTCTAATTTAACAGTTAATGTCCTCATTTCACAATAGAATTATAAAATTTCCTGCTGAAAACTCAGAGGTAGAGTTATTTGACATTTTTGGAAGATGTTCTATGTCATTGTTGATAGATGGCTTCAAAGAAATGCCTTCTAGGCTGGGGGCAGTGGCTCATGCCTATAATCCTAGCACTCTGGAAGGCCAAGGTGGGTAGACTGCTTGAGATCAGGAGTTCAAGAGCAGCCTGAGCAAGCATGAGACCCTGTCTCTAAAAACATCCAGGTGCTGTGGCAGGCACCTGTAGTCCCAGCTACTTGGGAGGCTGAGGAAAGAGAATCACTTGAGCCTAGGAATTTGAGGTTGCTGTGAGCTATGACACCACAGCACTCTATCCAGGGCAATAGAGTGAGACTCTGTCTCAAAGAAAAAAAAAAAAAAAAGAAATGCTTTATTCTGTCATCCCATCCAAACTGCCAAATTATTATTGTTTAGTGAATAGTTCCAGTTTGGGCTACTTTCCTGGTACCTGGTTTAGAGTTTCATAAGATATGAATGAATGATTCACCTAAGTAATTGAATACACTGACAAGAGTAGGCTTCCCTTTCTTTAAAGGAACATTTCAATCTACATCCAAAGTGGTTGTTTTTCTTTTCTTTTCTTTTTTAAAGAGACAGGGTCTGGCTTTGAATGATCATAGCTTACTGCTGCTTTGAAAACCTGGATTCAAGCTAACAGTCTCAGCCTTCTAAGTAAGTAGCTGGGAGTACAGGACATGTCACCACACCTGGTTAATTTTTTCTTTTTCTTGAGACAAGAACCTCACTTTATTGCCCTCAATAGAGTGTGGTGATGTCATAGCTCACAGCAACCTCAAACTCTTGGGCTTAAGCAATTCTCTTGCCTTTTTTTTTTTTTTTTTAGTAGAATTGGAGTTTTGCTCTTGCTTAGGCTGGTCTCCCAACTCCTGAGCTCAGGCAATCCATTCCCCTCAGCCTCCCAGAGCACTAAGATTAAAGGTGTGAGCCACCATTCCCAACCACCTGGTTAATTTTTTTAAAAATTTTTGTAGAGATGGGGTCTCACTCTTATTTCCCTAGCTACTCCAGAAATCTTGGCCTTAAATATACCTTCTGCCTTGACTTCCTCAAGTGCTATGATTATAAGCAAGAGCCACTGCCCCTGGCCTACATCCAAAATCATGATTTCATACCTCTCAGAGTTTATATCTTTTGAAATGACATTTTTTTGAAACGAAATTAAGCCTTTATTAACTTACAGAAATAAATTTTTCTAATGTTTCTCAGCTTTTAAGACAAAAAAGTAAATTTCATGAATATTACAGGAGAAATGTGGTAGGTATGTAAAAATGAAACAAAAATTTTCTGCTCTATATCCCAAAATAATTCTATTCTGATCTTCTTGCCCTCTACATATTCTTTCAAAATGATAGGGCCACGTGTTTTACTTTTGTCTTTTTGTTTTTCTGATTTAGTTGAGAAATAAAAAGAAGCTGAATTATTTTCCCTTCTTCTGGAGGAGGGAGGCTTAGTTTCTTGGTGTCTCTCCTGATTTCCCAGCATAAGAATTTCCCACTGTCTTCAGGCAAGAGTGCTTCAACACAAAATAGACAACAAAACTCCCAGAGGGAGAGTTCCAAATAAAGAGCTACAGAAAAAATTCACTTTAGTAAGAGAAATTCCAGCAGTTGACTAATTAAACTTAACATTACAATGTTTCCCAGAGATGTCAGATGTTGTTTGTTAATTCTAAACATGTGATTTATTTAAATTCATTGGGGACCACACCTACAGTGTATCTTACAAGGGTACATGTGAAATTTACTAGGTGTAAAATATAAATGTCTTAACACAATAACTAAGAAAATGCTGTGAAGGCTGTGTTGACCAGTTTGATGAAAGCATTTCAAATTGTACATAAAACCAGCACATTGTACCCCATGATTGCATTAATGTACACAGCTATGATTTAATAAAAAGGAAATTTCTAACATTTAATTTTTTAAAAACTTTAAAATGTGAAAAAAAGGAGCATGAACTCAAAAACACACACCTAATCCATAAAACCATAATTAAAAAACACAAAGTTTTAGAAATACAACAGATGAATCAAGGCCTTACCTTCATCATGAATTTCTGTAGGGGCATAAGGAAAAGAGAGAAAATATTAAATAGACATCATTTCAAAGACACTGAAAAATACCTCTCATTTATAAGGACTCCACTACTATAAGTGGAGCTAGATAAACAATAAACATAAAAAACACATTCACTGTGTTGTTGCAACGAAACTTAATTCCAACTACATGCTAGAGAAAAGCTGCAGCAAGCCAAACTCTCTCTTAAAATGTCTTTACATTAGCTCTTCCTTATTCTGGGAAAGCATGCTGCTTTAATGTGTGATTTGATTGGCAACATACCCAAGCATGAACAAAAATACAACCTTAAATCTAACCTCTAAAAATGCTTTTTTTTTAAAGAAAAAAAAAACCTTTCATTTCATAGTCTGCATAACAATGCAGTGATATAAACAGCAACCTAGGTAATTAAGCAGATTAGAAACAGATTCTAAACTAGTTAGCTGCAATAAGCTGCTCAGATTTCATGCAAAGTAATAGGAAGCAGTTTCTTAGACACGACATATTGTGAGAGGTGAATTTCAGAGAAAATAATCATAAAACATTTTCTCTTAAAATGACACAGTCTTTTCACGAGTTACAATCATTCATTTATTCTTCTCTAAAACCTAATGTGAATATCTGCTTGTGTGTCTGTGTGTATTCCTTCATTTTTCTTTAGACTTCTAAAGTTTCTTTGACTCCTTATTCTTACACAGATGAAAAAGAAGAAAAAAATGATGTGTTTCCCAACTGAGGGCTGCATTTAGTTGTCAGGAGCGTGTCTAAGCCCTACGGAGAAAAGATCTGCACAGACACTTTCGTTTGAAAGGAAAATTTTCTAATATGGATAATTAGAAATATTTCAGCTTTTCCCTAAACATACTTGCCTTAAGAAATTCCGTTCAGACTAATTTCATTTTCAAGGTTATTAATTTTAAGGGAAAATTGTAAAGAACATTTTCATTTTTGGCTTGGAAAATGTAGGATGCTTAGTTACATTTTTATAAATGTTAGTGGTAAGTGATATCAGAAAACATTTTCCATCTTGAAACTGACCAATCACACACCTACATGTGACTCACTAATGACAGAGACATCGCCCCATGAAGAATGAGGCAAAAATTCACTTTTAAACTTTAATTCAGAGAAGCATAAGAATCTAACATTTTGCTGTAACACACAGTTTATAACAGATACTTTCTTTATGAGGTTTGGGTTTTTTTGTTTTTTTCATTGAGCTAGGTTTTAGGGATTTTTCTTTAAAAAAATGTTCTCAGGGTGATTTTGACATTCATCAAAGTTGAACTGCTTTAAAATTGTAGTTGACTGCAAAAAGAGTGCTCAGTAGAGTTACCAAGCTCTGCTATTCAGATTCTAAGTTGTGTCTGACTACAGGAAGGGCCGGACCAGGAAGAAAAGTCATCTACCTATACAATAAAATAGAAGGAATACTGCGAATTAGCAAATAATAAAACATCCATCTGTAGAATGAGAAAGAAGAGATGGAACAGACACGTGCCATTTTCAAAAGATAATCAAGAACACGAATGATCCTTAGTGATATTTGTGGCAATGTTGATAATAACTTTTTTTTACAAATCACTTTAATTCAATTTCGCTTAAGTGCTAGATATTACCAAAGTTATGCCATCATGAGATATTCAGAAGAGATCGCTTAAGGGCGAAGACGAAAGCCAAACACAGAAAAACAAAAAGGATGAATGTATTACTTTCATCTCAGGGTAAACCCCACTTAGGTATGATCAAAAGTAACCAACAGAAAAGGAGTAACAAAGACCCTTCAAAAGTTGACATAAATGAAAAAAAAAAAGAAACTCACATACAAGGGCTAATACTGAAGAAAACAGCCTCTTTGGGTGGGGAGGATATAACATTTTGCTTAAAATGATTTTAACAAAAATTATTTATTTCACTCATACAAATTACATCAGACGAGTAAAATTTCACTCAACAAAACAGAATAAGGGATGACAGCAAGGGCAGTCCTAGTCCAGGCACGCAGCATGGATTCAACCTACTTTCTGTCTAAGAAGAACTTTTTTGGATGATGATCAATTTGCACAAAAACACAAAGGGGGAAATTGAGTTGTTTATGGTAAAATTTGCAAGTGGCAGTAACTGAGTGTCCCAGAGTTAGATTATTTCAGAACTGAGAGGTCAAATGAAGCTCCAAATATGAGAAAGAGTTGAGGGCATAACCATCATGGTACATTAACAGGAAAACCAAGAAAAGAAATTGCTATGGGTACATTTTAACACAGAGATGGTTCCGGGTGTCCCACAGATGACAAAAAGAAACAAAACCCTCTTTGGTCCAAAACATGAGTCACTTAATAAAGTAAATCTGAAATAACTCTAGGATTTTTTCTCAGCAAGTGCGAATGATTATGAGTAAAAGAAAAAAATCAAATAGCAATACCTCATTCAGAAAAATGTTAACAAACATTGGCAATCAAGAGAATACTGAACTATATTTTATCTGCTATTGGTGCAAAGAAAGAAACAGTAATTCAGGTGACATAGAAGAGCCCCTCTATCCTAATTATCTCTTTTCATTTCAACTTTGATTTATTTTAATTTTTATTTATTTATTTTGCAGTTTTTGGCCGGGGGCTGGGTTTGAACCTGCCACCTCCAGCATATAAGGCCGGGGCCCTACTCCTTTGAGCCACAGGCACCACCCTCAACTTTGATTTTTTTAATAGAAACTGATTCTAAAAATGAATACTCCTAATGACCCCTCCTAGGACTTATAGAATAACTTTTATTGGAATGTCTCCTCAAAAATTACGGAGATAAGGAATTAGCAACCAAGCAATAAACATTGTGGGCTTGACATTACAAAGAATTATCCAATGCAATGATCTGGGAGAACAGAGAATAGGGTAAATTTTAGGCTCAGAAGTCCTTCCACATAAAGTCTCCATTAAGGAGGGAAAATATTCTACTGTGCTTATAAAATTTCCATTAAGTTTAAGCCTTCTGCCATCTTTTCTATACATCAAGATGCAAGGATTCTCCATCATCATCCAATTGGTAACCTCTCCTCTGTGAGGAATTATCTAGCAGATTTCACTAGTGGGGAAGAGGAAAGTGTGTTTCACCACCAACAACGTGGTGTAAGTTGCTATGTTTAATGAAGGATGCACCTAGCAATTTCTAGAAGACAACAGGAATGGAACATTAAGAATTTTGAGTTCCAAGTATGTATCATCATATACTAACAGCATTCTGATAGTGAAGCATTTTGTGAAAAAAACCTCAACTATCATTTGTTGAATCAAAATATCCTACAGAAATGCTTCACTTTCTAGGGCTTCACTGCTGAAACAGACATGTGGATTGTAGGTCCACAAAGCCTCTGAAAGAGTCTCATCCAGTGCTATTGAAGAGCCATCATACACATGATGACATGTCTCACAGTAATGTTCTCGCATCGCATGCTGAGGACTAACACTGCCATCTAGTTATTTGAACATGAAGATACATTTACAAAGAATCCACTCTGCTTTTTCTTTAGGCAGATTTGTAGTAATTGGTGTTGTTTTCAACCTGTCAGCAACTCCACACAGACAATATTTAAAAGGGATGCCTTCTCTCTCTTTCTCCCTCTCTCTGAGACAGAGTCTCACTCTGTGTCCAGGCTAGAGTGCTGTGGCACCATGATGGCTCACAGCAACCTATAAGTCTTGGGCTCAGGCCATTCCCATCCCTTGGTCTTCTGAGGAGCTGGTACTACAGGTGCCCACTATAACACCCCACTAGTTTTTCTATTTTTCACAGAGACAGGGTCTCACTCTTGCTCAGGCTGGTGTCAAACTCCTTAGCTCAAGCAAACCACCAGCCTCGGCCTCCCACCATGCTAGGATTATAGGTGTGAGCCACTGCACTGGCCCAGGGATGCCTTGTCTTTTGAGAATAATGGATTTGACGTACACTATGCACACATGAGGGCTGTCAAGATAGTATCCAGCCATGTACTCTGAAAAATAGAGACGTTTATTACATTTACCATTGGCTGGACACTGTCCAGACAGCCCCCTTATATACTTTTTAGTTCTTCTTCAGAAGGAAAATAAATGACTCTTACAAGTTGCTGTAAGTCCTAACATTTTATCACGATGTGGCCCATGCTTTTAAACACAGAATTTCAGGAATGTCTAAAGCATGAAGAGGAAGAGCTGTCTAGGGCGTTCTTCTTTTCTAAGTTCAACTTGATAAAGAATTTCTCTAAATCAAAAACCAACAAGTTGATCTCTATAGAGGACATAGGGAAAATCGTGACCTGAAGATATGTCAAGCCATCCTATATTCGGAGTACCACCTACACACCCCAAAATTGCCTGGATCAGAAAATAGAATATTCCATATATATTTTTAAAACCATTTCAAACACCTGATAGCATTAAGGCATTTCACAAACACAAATGCATAATTTGTTTCAATAACAACTAAGAACATTTGAAATGATTTTGTATTTTAACAATTACAATAGCATGAACGTATTTTTTAAAAGGAGGAATTATTTGTGTAAGACTCATCGGGTCTTCAGACAGCCGTGCACCAAAGGCAATTTTACCTGCTCCACCCTCTGTTACCCCCCCCACCCCGCTTCATCCAGTCCCTCAATCCTAGGCCCCCGCATTGGAAATCAAGGCTCTAGGTTAGTGGAGTCTGGAGATGAAGTACATGAAAATAATAGTTAATTATACTTTAGCCAAGACTCAGAAATGGCATTTGCTTTTAAAATATGAAGAGCAGCATTTGATGACCCTGTGGGCTCTGATTAAAAAAGTACAGAGAGATTCAGAAAGGCACTGACAGGTGGAGAAAGGGAAGGAGATGAAGGAAGAAAGGATATTAGGGGGGAAAGGAGAGAATGGAGGGAGAAAGGAAGAGAAAGATGGGGGTTGGGGGGACAGAGAGACAGACAGAGAGAGAGAGAGAGAGAGAGAGAGATGGACCTGTGATGAATTATCCAGAATTGTGTTATCAGAAAATTTATAAAGAAGCCATTTTTATTTGCACGTTTGCCAAGTTCTCTAAGGCTCCTCCGAGTCCTGGTGGTGTTAAATGCACTCTAGACAAGCATGTGGAACAGATGTTGTAACAGGACGCCTACCTAAGAACGAAACGGTGGCAAGCACAGATGGTCCCCAACCTACGAGGCCTTGACTTTGGACTTTCCAACTTTTAGTCATTCACCTTGATGACAGTCTGAACGTGATAGGCGTCCAGTAGGAATCGCACTGCTAGTACTGACACAGGATTCTATGTTTTTCACTTGCAGTACAGTACTCAGTAAATTACAAGAAATGTCTCACTTTCTATAAAATAGGCTTTATGCTCAACGATTTTGAGCCATGATATTAAGCAGGTTTTATGTGCATTAAATGCCTTTCAACTGGTATTTTCCACTTCTGCTGGGTTTCTCGAGATCTAACCAGTTGTAAGTGGAGGAGCATCTTCACTGCCACACTCCACTGTCACATAACCCAAGCAGGGACGCAGAAGGAGGCGGCGGCAAATGGGCACACTGCCCTTAGAACACCCACCTCAGTCTGTCGCAACAGGCAAGGAGCAAAGAGGCAGTCTCTTGGAGAAAGGTGCAGGCAAGACTGGGGTCTCCCCTCCCTCCCAAGCTTACCCTCACTTATACAGAGTGAGGGTGGCTTTAGGGACACCTCTGACTGGGAGCTGGGACTCTGCGGCCTGGGGTCTGACTATGCCTCAAGCGGAGAGGCAAGAGGCTGGCTATAACCCCCACAGCCACAACTAGGAAGCGATTGCACTGCCAACAAGCAGGTGGGGACCACACTAGACTGGGACTGTCTCAGAGGCAGCTGAGAGCTCACAGGACAGTGGGAGTGGTCATTGCCACAGATGGGCAGGAGGGTGCAGCAAGAAAGCCACAGGTCAGGGAACTCTGGGGATGGAGGTCCCCCAAAACACCTACTGAGTGCCCAGAAAGGAAGTTAGCTCTACACCGGACAAGCCTGGGGCACGACACTATGGTAAAAGATCTTTCCTGTCAACCTTCTCTCGCTCCTTCCCACGGCACCCGAGAGGGTAGACGCTCTGGGCACCAGGCAGGGATGAGGAACTCAGCAGGGTCAACTGGGAAGCAGCTTTCCATATGCCCTTCCCTCCAGTGCTGCTGCATGGAGGGCCCTGAGCCAATCCAGACAAGTTCACTTGAATTAAGTTCAAGTTCACTGATGACACAGGCCTGGGCATTTTAATTACTGATATGAGATTTGTATGACTGGAAATGACTCAGGGGTGTTTCACTCTCTGAACAAGAAAGGTCGTGGGACCTGTTCTAATTTAACCCCCGGGGCAGAGGAAATAAAGCCCCACAAAGCAGATGCTGGGGTACATGCACGGGGTTAGCTATTTTCTATTGCCCTTTAAGGTATACCTGTTATAGGAGAATTTCAAACTTCTGAGGGCCAAAGGATAAGATTTGAACTGTGCGGGTCTCCAAAGAAAGACATAGCTCAAGTCTAAACTTTACTGAGACATATATACGTGATGGGCATAAGTGTCCTATAACAAACTAGCAGAATCTTCTCGCTCCATGATTCCTAACTGAACACACACAAGGGCCGTCCAGAAAGCACCAGCTGTCCTTCAGACTATTTGTCATAGTACATGGCTGCATACTTTCTGGACAGCCCTCATATTTTGGCACTAAATATTTCGTCATTACCGTAATAATAATATTTAAGAATAAGGAAGGAGCATTCCAGATTCTTATCCTATAGACAAGGAGACTGATTATGGCCCACAGAGAGCCTGCAGGAGATGACAAAGTTCATTCATCGCTGGCCACGTGAACTCTCATGATTTTCAGCTCAGAAAATACGTGAGATATTTTTATCAGAACCGGAAAGCAACCTCCATTGGAAAGATTTATACATAAACTTAATAAAAATAAGTTTTGAGGTAAGAAATTATGGTGGGAAGAAAAAAGTAACACTGAGAGGCAGATTCAAAATCACCAAATGCACAGAGGACAAACGGAAATCCTTTCAGACAATGGTGAAAAGTGACTTTATTTTCTAACACATTCTCTGTTTCCAAAAGAATTAAAAGCAATTTGAGTGTTTGGTCAAGAAATACCAGTCTGGAGATGGCACAGAAATACTGCAGTGGAAATAGAAATATTTCCAAAAGGTGGAAAATAACAGGCATGAGTTTAGGATGGGGACACTAGGGGGGCAGGTGACAAGAAGCAGGCTTCCCTTCCCAAGACGCGAGAAATGTGAAGATTAGATCAGAATTTCAGCTACAGGCACAGACAAGGGCACGGAATTTCGAAAGTAGTTGGAAAGTCATAATTTAGTGACAAAGGATAATGAATTTAAATTCAGAGATACAGACAGAAGTGGTAGTTCTCAAAGATCAATATGGGTTTCATCCTCCTGAAAATGGTAAATTTAAAGAACAATTCCTGGTCTATCAAGGGCTGAAAGGAAGTAAAGAATAAGGGTCACAAATAGGCAGGTGGGCACTCAGTGGTTCGGGAGCCACTACCAGAAGGGCCCGGAAAAGATGGAAAAATTCTCAAAATTCTGCCTTGAGAAAATTGGATCCCAAGACCAGGAAAACTCATGAAGATGAAATGAAGCCGTCAGGGAAGTCGACCTTAAAGATTCATCTTATAAAAACACAGAACAAAGAAAAACAAAACACTTCAACAGTGAGAAGCCTCCCTGTTTTACACTCTTGGGGAAAAAAGTAGAGCGAGGCTATCAGTCTTGGAGAGACTTGAATTTCCATCTAGAATCTTGTAGTATTAAAAAATGAAAGGGAGATCATGCCTATGGTTCATCCTGTAAGGGTACATGTGAATCCCTCTAAAGGTAGAATATAAATGTTTTAACACAATCACTAAGAAAAAGACACAAAGGCTATGTTAACCAGTTGGATGAAAGTATTTCAAATTGTAGACAGAAACAGTACACTGTACCCCATGATAGTAGTAATGTACAGTGCTATGATTTAATAAAAAAAATAAATAAAAATAAATTTTAAAAAAGTAAAGAAAAAAAATTGAAAGGGATCTTGGAGCATTCCCTCCCTCTGCGTCTCCTAACAGATGAGGAAACTTAGACCAAGTTTAGCCACGTAACTTGTTTGCAGTACCCAACTTGTGACTGTGTGGGCCTTCAGCCTGAGCCTCCCAAATCCTGCCACTTCCCCTTTCTACATGACAAACTGATTCACCTTCACTTTTTAAGATGACTGAACATGTCCAGCTGCCTTTTCTATCGTACACGAGAAAATATAAGGATGGGCAGTGGGATTTTGAGGTTAGATAGAGAAGTCTGGAGGCAAGAGATACACAATATTAATAATAAAAGTTTATCTGAAGTATGTCATCATCACAAAGCCAGTTATTTTAAAACTACAGGGTTCTGGGGATGGAGAATATGAATATACCCCCATTACAGATGAAGCAACACCAGATACGTAAGATTCTAATTAGAAACCTGGAAAATACTTGTTTGTGACAACAGAGAGGTTAGTTTGAGTACTAACAATATAAGCCACACCAGGAAGCAAAATAAAAAGATTAGAGGCAACAGCAGACATGCATGTTTAGATCACGATTTCTTGGCAAATACATGGAGACAACATACCCATTTTTCCACATCAACTTGCTGTGGAAAGAAAAAGCCAAAATAAATAACAAACAAACATATAAGTACCTAGCAATGTTTCAATTACTGTCATTTAAATCAATTCAAATGCGATCCTTGCACCAATAACTACTCCCCATTCTAACCGATAAGAAACAGTATTCACACTTTTAATTAGTAACATTTAATCTCAGCAAAGAAACAAAAATTTTCAATTAATTTAGTAATTGGAACTTCGAAACTCATCAGGCTGGAAATGCACCAAGTACACAAAATAACGATAATATAATACATTCAAAAGCAAACATTTACCTAATTCTCAAACATAATTGGCCTCCTGATTATGAAATTACTATTCTCCTCAAACTATAAAAAAATATTTCATTAAAAAGATCAATTTCAAGAAACAGCATCTAATTATAATTTTTCTCATGACATTTAAAGATGTATCTTCCATCAATCTTTCTAGCATTTCATAAAATTTCACAGTATAAAAAAGGGGCCTTCCTTGACAAATAGTTCTGAAGTTACACAGGAATCCAATTAATCTAAAGTTATGTGACTCTTTAAAGAGTAACTATATCTCCACTGTAAACGGGACAAACAAAAAAGCTATAAAATGACAAAAACTATCTTTTACAGTTTTCCAGAATGACTATGAAATTAATCAGATAAAAATTTCAACGCTGAGAGACATACTCTGTCTCAAAGGTAGGTTCCTGTAACTCACCTCCTATCTATAGCGTGTCCTGTAAAAATTGAGGTTTGCTTCAGGCCCTTCATGTATTTAATTTGTAATTTTCTTCTTTATAAAATTTCATAGTCAGGTAAGAAGCTAATGATACACAGGTAAAAATCCTAGGCTATAGCTAAGGGAGCTCAATGCCTTAGTAAGCTTAGAAGGGAATGTGCATAAAATGCAACTTACAAAATAATTATTTTTAAAATGTTATCAAGTGATACCAAAAATATCAACCTAAAAGGATAAACTGAATTTTCTGAAGCCCTGATAAAGAACATTTTTGGCTTCTTTCCTAATTCTTTATCCTTCAAAAAATTCTCTTCAAAACCTAGCCCTTTTAAAGCCTTTGCATTTTAATAACCATTGTTACTTAAGAAAGTACACTTTACTGAATGCAAAATAGCTGGTTTTCACTGTAAACTTTTCAAAATATTTCCCTGTTCCATAAAGTTCCATTTTTCATTTTAAACATTATCCTATTGGATTGATGGACCCATGTTGTTAGGTTCTGGGCAAAAATGGAAGCCACAGAAGCCTGTCCAGTATGGGGCAGTTATCACACACTTTTCCACTTTTCAAAAGACAAACTCTCATATATATTCATTTCTAAGAATAATAATTCAAGAACATGTGAATTTGTCTCTTTTTCACATTTATTGGAAAAACAGTATGCCATCTTTTAGTGACATTGATAATTATCAACACATTATATTATCCTATCACCATATGCACTTCTAAACATAGACCGTCTCTCTCTCACTCACACACGCACACATCAATTCAAAGATAAAGTACTGTGGGATTTTTCCAGAATAAAGAACTTATAATGAAGACTCATACTTGTTAGGGTCCATAAAAAAAGCTCTTTAGGAATCTATATTACAGTAAAGAAACACAATTCCTCAAGTAGCAAGAATTAGTAGCAAT